CCAGGCCTTTCTTCCGAGGAACCTCACAGCAGACTAGGACCTCAGCACCCAGGTGGGCTGCCCGTCTATGCTAGCTAGGAGCTCCAACGTCTTACTAGAAAGCATCGGCACCACCGGTCATCACCTGCACAATGCCTGGCGTGCTGGACCCTAGTGGGAGAAGGAGCCTCATGCTCTCGAAGGGGGAGGCTCCGGCCCCTCCCAGGATGCTCTCTGGCTTGGAGCTGGCTGGAGAGGCTGAACGGGGACTTGGGAGCTGAGGGCGGAGCCCCAGGACAGGAGTGGGCCTTGCTATCATCCCCCCCTCCGGCTGTGCAGAAATCTGGGGAGCTGGTTGCTGTGAAGGTCTTCAATAATGTCAGCTACCTGCGGCCCCGCGAGGTGCAGGTGAGGGAGTTTGAGGTCCTGCGGAAGCTGAAGCACCAGAATATTGTCAAGCTCTTCGCGGTGGAGGAGACGGTGGGTCCAGGGAATGGCCAGAGGCAGACAGTCTTGGGTTTGACCCCCGACCCTGGGAGAGGTGGGTTGCATGCTCATCAGAGGTCAGCTGGGGCAAACCTCCTGTACCCCAAACCCGCTACTGTCAACCCGTTCTGGCTCCCGTGTGTCCGAGTAGAGGTGTGCTCCGTGGGGTTCCCAATGGCAGGGGTTTTTGTTGTTGTTGTTGTTTTGTTTTTCCAAAAGTAGTAGATTACCAGGCCTTTCTTCCAAGGCCCCGCGGGGTAGATTAGAACCGTCAACCTTGTAGTGAGCAGCTAAGTGTGTTGACTATTTGCATGACCGGGGTGTCAGGGGGTGATTCTAGGAGAAGTCAAGAATGCCAGAGGTTAGGGCAGTGCCTGGGGCAAGGGGCTTCATCAGAGAGGGTGGTGCTGGTTCTGGAACATTCTGTGAGACAAGGAGGCCAGACCAGAAGCTGGGGCACAGGCAACCAGGGGCTTTCAGCTCCAGCCGGGCCACTGCCTCTGGGAAAAGCCGGGTTCCCCAAGCCCGGGACAAATAAAGTGGCGGCCTCCCCTTATCCCTCCGCCCACCTGCTGCAGGGGGGCAGCCGGCAGAAGGTGCTAGTGATGGAGTACTGCCCCGGCGGGAGCCTGCTGAGCGTGCTGGAACGGCCGGAAAACGCCTTCGGACTACCGGAAGATGAGTTCCTGGTGGTGCTACGCTGCGTGGGTGAGCTCGGCCTTCCTGGAACCCGTGTCCACACAGGGGAGCGCCTGCGACCTCTGCACGCCCTCCATTCCCCAGCTGACAGGACTTGGTCCAGGGGCCTTGGTGCCCCGGGTAAAGAGCTCCGGCTTAGGAGGCCCGCTGCTGGCCCTGCTAAATGTGACTCCTCACTTTAGGATGGTTCCTTTTATGTTAAGAGAAGTTTTCCTCCTAAAAAAGAGGAGTTTCAAAATCTTAAAATGGAGTTTTAAGTTTAAAAAACAAACAACCAAACAAAAACCCCTCGCTTACAAAGAGAGGGACTGTGAGAATGGGGACCTTCCCCACCACGCCGGACCCTTCCCTCTGCATTCGAAGGCACATGCTCTCAATCCTGACCTCCGTTTGTTGGGCCCAAATGGAACCTGACACCCGGTGTCCTGTGCCCCGTCAGCCCGCGGGTCTCCCTGTCTGTCTGGACCTGAGGACAGAGGCCTGCCCACAAAGCGTCCCTCAGATGCAGGCCCAGCCCCTGCCACCAACGACCCTGCTCTGTCCGCAGTGGCCGGCATGAACCACCTGAGGGAGCAAGGCGTGGTGCACCGCGACATCAAGCCCGGGAACATCATGCGCCTGGTGGGGGCCGAGGGCCAGAGCGTCTACAAGCTGACTGATTTCGGGGCTGCCCGGGAGCTGGATGACGATGAGAAGTTTGTCTCCGTCTACGGGACCGAGGAGTACCTGGTGAGAGGACTGGTGACGACCGAGCCCCGAGCAGAGGGCACCCCGCACCCCGGGACTCCTCAGAGCCCCCTCTGAGAGTCCCGGCCCATCCTCCTGCTTCTGATGGGGTTATCTCTCACCCCAGCTCTCCAACCAGAGCAAGCCATCTGTTTGCTAGGCCTGACGAGGAAGTGCCGTCCGTGTCTTGGACGGACACCCACCCAGGCTCAGAGGCTACTGGTCACCATTTCCCTGGGACACAGCAGGGCCGGCAGGTGGGAGGGTCGGGAAGCAGCAGCTAGGACTCCTTCATCCTTTGTGGATGTTAACCGTGAGCGGTTAATTCTGAAAGGGGAGATAAAACCCCACCCAAACCACTGCCATTGAGTGGACTCGAACCCAGTGACCTCAGCTTTTTGAGGCTGTAAATCTTTACAAGAGCAGACAGCCTCATCTTCTTTGCTCAGGGAGGCTGGTGGGTTTGAACCGACGACCTTGCAGCTAGCAGCTCCATGCTCACCCGAGAGCATTCGACAACTAACCCAGAGGTTGGTGGTTTGAAGCCACCTGGTGATGAGCTGCTGCTGCTTCTGTCATGTTTTAAAACCTCTCGATTCCAACTAAGAACAGCCCGATAGGACAGAGTAGAACTGCCCCTGTGGGTTTCCGAGGCGGAAACTCTTCATGGGAGTAGCAAACTCATCTCTTTCCGTGGATTCAAACCGCTGACCTTGTGGTTAGCAGCCAACAGGTAACCCACTCTGCCGCCAAAGCTCTCCGAAGGATTATAGCCTAGGAAACCCTCTGGAGCAGTTCTTCTCTGTAACGCCGGGGGGCGCCCTGAGCCAGAATCCCCTGGACCTTGCTCACCACACACTGGGCGGCAGGCTGTTTCTGAGCAGATGGCGGCTGCGGAGATGGTTGGGAATGACTCTGAGAAAGGGGACGAGGTGAGTGGGTGCCTCCCCTGGCCCTCCACGTCTTGCCTGCTTCTGTCTCCTCAGCACCCCGACATGTATGAGCGAGCAGTCCTGCGCAAGCCCCAGCAGAAGGCCTTTGGGGTGACGGTGGATCTCTGGAGCATTGGGGTGACCCTGTACCATGCCGCCACTGGAAACCTTCCCTTCATCCCCTTCGGTGGGCCGAGGCGCAACAAGGAGATCATGTACGGTGGGCATAGCCTGTGTCTTCTGGTGGGCACACACCGGACTCCTCTCCCAAGGGTCCCTGCCGGGTCCCTGCTGGGTCCCCGCAAATTCGTCTCACTTCCTCCTCCAAATCAACCAAGCTCACTGCCGCGGAGCCCTGGCTGACTCCTGGCCACCCCGCTGTGGGTGTCTGTCCCAGACCCACAGCTCTTGGTGGGAGTTGAAAGCCCAGTCTTTCTCCCTCGGAGCCCCAGGAGGCTTTGAACTGCCAACCATGGGGATCACAGCGCAACACATAACCATTGCACAGCCAGGCCTCCTAGACACCCTTCCTCTGACTCTCCCCCAAACTCCAAGGTTCTCTGGTCTGACCTGCAGCCCTCCACCTCTTCCCAGGCTCCATTCAGTCCTTTATTAATTGGTACACCAGGCAGGTAGCAAAGCCCGGGCCTTGACCCGGTGGGAGACAGATCTGACCCTTGTTGCCAATCACAAGAGGCCACTAACCACGAACCCACCAGCGGCTCCCTGGGGGAAAGATGGGGCTTCCTGTCCCATGAAGATACTCAGTCTCAAGGACCCCCAGGGGCAGGCCTCCTCTGTCCTGTAGAGTCACTGTGAATGGAGATCCACTCCCTGGCGGTGAGTTTGGTTGTGGTTTATGCCAACCAGTGCTTCTCGATGACATGCCCTGCCTTGCTGCTCCCCACAGCTCGACCCAGGCTGAAATGTGACTTGCCCAAAGGCACAGAAAACAGCTCTGATGACCCCAGGTGCCCCGCTGTCTGAGACAATAATAGAAGTTGCTGGAGATGTTTCTAGAGATTTCAGATGGATTAGCAGGAAGGTCACTGTGCTCACATCAGCTCAGGGTGCGGCATGCCGGGTGACCCTGTGCGGTGGTTAGATACTGTCGAGTGGGTTCTGGCTCATGGCAACCCAGGACATGCACAGCGGAACACGCACACAACAGAACACAGGCCCCTCCAATCACGTCTGAGCCTGTTGTTGCAGCCACTCTATCGGTGCGTCTGGTTGAGGGTCCGCCTCTTTTCTGTGGACCCTGTTTCAGGTCTGAGGAAAGGGGAAAGAGGTTGGCCTGGACAGGGAGGCTGGGTTCTGAAGGGGTGAGGACCCCCGGGGCAGGCTGAGCAGGGGCAGCGTGATGAAGCAGGCAGGGTGTGGGGGGTGTGGGGATGGGGCAGAGGCAATGGGCCCGGAGCAGGTCTGCCTGTCCAGAGCAGAGAGTTTTGAGGGGGGCGGGGGGTGCCCCAGGACAAGGCATTCTCCAGGGTTGACAGCCAGAACTCTCCGATTCCTTTCTTCCAGGATGCCTCCTGGTAGCTGGGGTCTTTGAACGAGCCTTTGAACAGGAGGGCTGAGCCCTGTTGGCTGAGGCTGTCACATACCCCCCCCCCCAATATGAGGCTACTGCAGACCCAACCTGGTCTCACCCTCTGCTTAGGTACCGGATCACCACGGAGAAGCCAGCCGGGGCCATTGCGGGCACACAGAGGCGGGAGAACGGCCCCCTGGAGTGGAGCTACACCCTGCCCACCACCTGCCAGCTGTCACTGTGAGTGGGGTGCCAGGGGTGGGCAGACATACACCCCAGTCTGCGGTATCACCTCTGCTGGGAGCCACGGCCCTGCCTGCCTGTGGGCCCCACATGCAGCACGCTCAGTCACTCTGCTCTGCCCAGTTTCCCTTTGGGGTACATTCTTCCAGCGTCCCCCTGACACCCCCATCCCCTTGGTCCTGCCTCCTGGGACATTCTTATGGATCGCGCTCTAAGGAAGGTCACTGGGTGCCCTTGAAGACTGACTGCACGCTGGCTCAGTCCCTTGGGAGAGAGGCTGGGGCCGGCTGCCATAAAGTTACACTGCCCTCTGTCCACGGGGCCGCCCTGAGTCAGGATCTGCTCAGTGGGTGGGGGGGGGGGGGTTGGTTTAGACTGACACCAGGAGAGCCAGCCTGACCCTCTGCGTGTCCTGGGAGCACAGGGGCCTGCAGAGCCGGCTGGTGCCCATCCTGGCCAGCATCCTGGAGGCCGAGCAGGCCAAGTGCTGGGGTTTCGACCAGTTCTTTGCGGAGACCAGTGACATCCTGCAGCGTGTCGTTGTCCACGTCTTCTCGCTGCCCCAGGCGGTCCTGCACCACGTCTTCATCCACGCCCACAACACGTACGTGCGTGGGGACCAGGAGAGCCCGCTCTCCGTGTGTGTATGGGGGGTGGGGGTGCGGAGGGGTGTCCCAGCAGAAGGCCACATCTACGCCAGCACCTTACAAAGCACGTTCTGGGGCCAATCGGTGACAAACGCCTGCGGGTACTAGCCCAGTACATTGGAAAGCTACCGGTCCCACAGTGACAGCTGCACAGGCTTCCTGATGGCCGAGCAGCCTCCCCCGCCCTTGACTGTGCTAAGGGGCATGACGAGCTCCCTGGGGAGGCAGGGACAGGCGGGCGAGGCATCTTCCAAACCCGCGTGTTCACAGGGCCCTCTTTCCCTGGGGCATTTGGTAGGGCTCGGTGAGGTTTAGCAGAGTGCTGCGGCCATGGTGGCATAACAGCGACCAGCTGCAGGGTCAGCAGTTCGAGACCACCAGCCGCTCCGAGAGAGAAAAAACTGGCTTTTCTACTCTCATACAGCGAGGGCTTGGAATCCCCACAGGGCGGAGGTGGGTTGGGATTGCTCTGGCAGGAGGTAGCGGAGTCCTGGGGGCACAGTGGTTAGTGGTGGGCTGCCAGCCACAGGATGAAGCTCACGGCGCCCGTGCAGGCTGGCCTCTCTGCCCTGTCTTGCAGGGTGGCGGCTGTGAGTCAGTACTGACCCATGGCAGGGCGGTTGGTGCTTTGGGTTTGGGTGGGGAGGCTGGGCATGGAGACCCTGGGCCAGGCTCTGTTCTGCCCTGCCTTATCCACCGCCCTGCCCTTCACCCCAGTTCCTATCCCCTCCATAGGTGTTTGAGGCACTGAATCCTGCCTGCTGGGCGGCCCCTGACATGTCCTGTCTCCCCCCACCCCTGTCGTGTGTCCAGGATCGCCATTTTCCTGGAGGCCGTGTACGAGCAGACCAGCGTGGCCCCCCGGCACCAGGAGTTCCTCTTTGAGGGCCACCTCTGTGCCCTTGAACCCAGCCTCCCGGCCCAGCACATCACCCACACAACCGCAAGCAGCCCCCTGACCCTGTTCAGCATGGCCAGCGAGACCCCCAAGGGGCTGGCCTTCAGGGACCGTGAGTAGGGGCGTCCTGGCCGGGTCTCCTCTCCTCCTCCTCTTCCGCCTCGGGAGGCCGCCCTGGGGGGCTTGGCTCTCTTGGTGGGGCTTGGATCCCACAGCAGCAGTCGCAGCGCAGGTGTGACTCTCACACAGCACCCTGGAGCTCGGGCAAGCGCAGGGAGTGTGTGCTGTGGGGAGCAGGCACCCAGGCGCCCGCAGAGGGAGGGAGGGGGGTGGTCAGCCATCCGTAGCTTCCTTCTCAGACAAGTTATAGCAAAATCATCACACCTTATCTGGCTGATGCCCACCCAAGCCTCATCCTTGGGGCCTGGTGCGGGAAGGGCATGGGTGTGCTCGCCCCTCTGGCAGCTGTGGAGGAGCTGGTAGCTTTCGTGGTCCCACACGGAACTGCAATCCCCAGGGTCAGCAGTTTGAAACCACCAGCTGCTCCCCCAAACCCACAGGGCAGTCCTACCCTAACCTCGAGGGTTGCATGAGCCAGTAGTGCCTGACGGCAGGGACTAGGTGTGTGTTGCGTTTTTGATGGTCACTGAGATGGACCTTGGGAAGCAGGACAGAGGCAGCAGGACTGTCCCTGTCGCATGGGATGCCTCTGAGGCACAGGCCTGGAGAGACGTGGCAGGAGTGGGGGGTGGGGAGCTTGAGGTGGGAGGGTGAGGGGCAGGAAGGGTGACTGTGAGCTGCAGTGAGGACAGGCCGGTCCAGGCAGGCCTCTCAGACATGGTCTTTGTTTGCAGCTGCTCTGGACACCCCCAAGTTCGTCCCCAAAGTGGACCTGCAGGCAGATTACAACACCGCCAAGGTGAGGGGCGGCCAGGTGGCAGGGCAGGGGTCTGCAGAGGGGTGTGGGTGGTGCTGACCAGGCCCCCTGTGTGTTTCAGGGCGTGTTGGGCACCGGCTACCAGGTCCTGCGGCTCACACAGGCCCTGATGCACGGGCAGGAGATGATGCTGCGGGGGCTCCACTGGGTGGTGTAAGTGCCCTCCCAGTTGGCCAAGTGGAGGAGGCCGGGCAGAGGGTAACATGGGCACCCAGACCCCTGCTGAACATCCCTGGGGCCAGGGCCTCAGCGTGGAGCCCTGTCTGTGGGCAGCAGGGCAGCTCTGACTTGGCTTCCCTCATGTAGGGAGGTTCTCCAGGCCACATGTCGGCGGTCACTGGAGGTCACCAGGACGGCCCTTCTCTTCCTCAGCAGTAGCCTGGGCTCTGAGAGGTGCGTGTCCTGTCCACGGTATTGGGGGGCGGGGGTCCTATCCAGGGCAGGGGCGGGGTAAGTGCATGTCCCGTTCTGAGCAGGGGGGCCAGAGGTGTGTGTGCTGTCCAGGACTGGGGGGTAGTGCATGTCCTGTCCAGGGCAGTTAGGGGTGTTTGTGTGTGTGTGTGTGCGCATGTGCACACGTGTCCTGCCCCTCAGTCCTCCTCAGCGCCCCAGGACCTCTCAGCCCCCACACACTTCCCTCCATTTTCACCCCTCCTCTCCCTGCGGGTGACCTCGGGGGCACGGAGTGGATGGGGCGAGACTAGGGAGGAGGACAGCCAGCCGGGTGAGAAACGCAGGGGTAGGTCTCATGGGGGAGCCTTGGCCAGGGCCCCCCTTATCCTGTGGGGTGGGTGACAGTCACAGAGGCCCAGGGAAACTGGTGGGGGCCTGTCCCGACCTGGGGATGTATGTGGTGACAGGGAGCAGCGATTGTGCCAGCCTGCCCCACCATGTGTTTCTGGACACAGGGAGTTTCCGGGCATCAGGTTGACTCACTGAGGCCTTGCTGCTGCCAAATCCCAAGAGACACGTGACCAGAAGGGTAGAGAGGGGGTGGGAGGAGACAGGGTTGGAAGCCCTGTCAGAGCCAAGCCCCTTCCGGGGGTGACGTGAGAGGTTGCAGGGAACAGGACCGGCTAGCTTGTTTGCGGACTCTCCCACGATCACAGTGCAAGTCCAAGGACACACATGACGTCATCCCACACGGGATACGGCCACCCAAGAGCCTCTCCCAGCCTGTGAGGGCGGACGGATGGAGGTGGGCAAGGCAATCCCAGAGGGCTTCCTGGAAGAAAAAGGCCCTGGGTGGGAGGGGGAAGAGCAGAGGAAAGGGCTCTGGATTTGGGGCCATCGAGTGTCGGCAAAGTCTGCTGAAGCCTCGGTCACTGCAGAAAATATCCAGAGGGAAACTGGGGCTGACAGAGCGGTGGGGGACACCGTAGCGGCCCAGAGGCTCCAGGAGGTGAACCGCCTTTTGTCAGTGAGGGGCTCTGCCTCTGGCCCACGCGGTGTCAGGCCGACTGGGCTCCACCTGCGTCCCAGTGGCCAGGTTTCTGAAGTCGGGGAGATGGCCCAAGTGCCGCTCTTCCACTTTCCACGACTGCTCAGGCCTCCTCTGAGGGGTGGGTGTCTGCCGAGCTCAGGACTCAGGCGCGCGCCTGCTGTGAAGACCCCCACCGCCCCCCCTGCACGTGCCTGCTGCTCAATCTCATCCTTTCCGAGCCCCTCAGACCTGTGCCTTCCTCTGAGGTTTGAAGTGCCCGCTCTCCCTGCGGTGGACTCTGAGCGGCTTTGATGAACTGGGTTTCATGTTGAGAGAGGCCTGGCACACAGGGGCCCTCCAGTGCCAGCTGGTGGCTCACCTCCCCTTTCACCCGGCGCTTCTGCCTGGCTCAGGCTCCTTCCCCAACACACACACACACACACACACACACAAAGGTCCCTGTCTCCCCCTGGCAGCTGCTACCACCCAGAGGCCCCAAGTGGATGACCAAGACAGCTCCTGGTGTCCCAGAGGCTCCTGCACCCATCACCTCAGGAAGCGGGTGTCTCCATAGATGCCCTTGTTCTCCAGCCCCTGGGGGGAGGGCTTTTCCATGGGCCCATGTGATCCCCAGGGACCCTTGTTTAGGGACCAGGAGAAAAGGCATCTCCCATTCGTTTCAAAAAAGTTTCAAAAACCTCAAGGAACGGAGAAATAAAGTGACTGGTCCCCTGGGAGAGCCGGAGTGGTGGCCAGACTTGAACCCGTGCCGGCTGCCCCCCACCCCCACCCCCACACCCGTCCACTTCCTCCCACCTGCGCCATCAGCACTTCTGCCCACAGTTACATGGGGGCCACCTCCTGTTGTTAGTGGCCATTGTGTCCTCTCCTGCTCTCCTGCACCTCCGGTGCTGCCACCTCTACCCCCACCATGCAATCACTGACCTGTCTGGGCTCATTGTTGGGAGCAGGGCCTCTGTGCCCCGCATGGAGGGCTCCTGTCCTTCGAGCTGACCTCTGCTTGACCAACCACAAGCCCTTCTGCATGACAAGCCACTGCTACGTGCTACACCCTTTCCTTGGCCTTCGAGACTTAAAGCTAAGCCAAGCCGGCATCGTTTGTCTGCATGGAGCTTCTAAGACTTAGAATCTAAGTCATTCCTAATTCTGCTTTTGCTCACCTGCCCTTCTCCCTGCCCCTCCGTTCCCAAGCTAAGACATGCGGGACTCATTCCTTAATTGTGATGAAAAGACCCACCTCCACCCCCACTGCCACAGGCTCTATTCTGACTCCCAGCAGCCCTGCAGAGGGGGTGTAAGGCTGGAGGCTTACATGGGAGCAGCCACCCTCCTCTCTGTCTCCAGGAGCAGCTGGTGGGTCTGAGCCACCCACCCTGGGATGGGCAACCTGATGCCTAACCCACAGCCCACCAGGGCTTCTTGATTAAAAGGTGGTCTGGGCCGATGGCGGAACGTGAGAACTCCACAGAGGAGCAAAGCCAAGACATGTGAAAATGCCATCACGTACCACGCAGGATGACAGGGCTCACCAGCGTCTAGGCGTGTGTTGCTCCTCGGTTGACAGCGGTCAGTCCCGACTCCCATCACCACTGAGTGATCAGAACCAAACACTGCCCACCCGGCATCGTCCTTACAACCGTGGCTGTTTCTGCGCCTGGCTGCGACCGCCGTGTCCATCCATCTCAGGGAAGGCCTTCCTCGCCTTGGCTGCCCTCTGCCTTCCCAAGCCATGGCGTCCTTCTCCAGAAATCGGTCTCTCCTGATAAACAGGACCCAAGTATGTGGGAGGAAGTCTCACCATCCTTGGCTCTTAGGAGCCTGCTGGCTGCACTTCTTCTGCGCCAGGATAGCTCGCTTCTCTGGCAGTCCAGGGGATGGTCAGTATCTAGGGACGACGTCACGATTCACAGGCCTCCTCCTCCTCCGCACTCGGAGCTCAGCTGGTGAGCTGGTGAGCACGGGTGATGTGTCCCATCGCCGTGGCTGGGCCAGAGCAGCCACTCGTGAACCCTCAACACGACACCAACGCCGTGACTGGGCCAGAGCAGCCACTCGTGAACCCTCAACGCGCCACCCTTGCTCTGGAGTGTCCGAAGAGGTCCTGTGCGGTGGCCCTGCCGTCGGGGAGATCTTGATTGCTGCGGCCGGCGTTGGGCGCGACTGCGGGGCAGGATCCCCTGGTCGCTTCACTCTCTTCTCCGCGGGTCCTGATGCTGCTGCTTGTCTGAGTCGCAGGGTGTTGGTTTCCTTTACGTTGAGGTGTAATCCGCCCTGAAAGCTGGGGTCCTGGGCGGTCTTCCGTGTGCGCTTCAATCCCCTTCCCTCGCAGAGGCCGGCGGTGTCATCCGCCCATCCCAGGCCGGTCACGACTCTTCCTCCCAGCAGACAGCTGAGTCCTTCGGGATACGAACTGCCCTGTGTCCTCCCCAGGGTCCTTGGGAGAGGCAGTGTGTGCCCCACTCTTAGCCGAAAGGTTGGTGCTTCCAACCCAACCAGCACCACCCCGAAGAAAGGCGGGTGCTCTCACATGACGGTGGTCGAGACCACCCCGCTCGGTGACCCACGGAGTCCCCAGGAGACGAGTCGGCCACGTGTTGGGTTTGGGGTCGGTTGGTCGGTGTTATGTCATTCTAGACTCGTGGATTTCGTAGACCCCAGGCACTGAACTCTTTCTTCCCCCGCACACCCGTCTACTTCCTTCTGCCTGTGAAGAGGCACAGTCTCAGAGCCCCACAGCGGCACGCAGCGGCACGCGCGCGCGTTCTCCTACGGGTCACTGTGACCTGGAATGGACTGGGTGACACTGGGTTTGGTTTTTCCCGTCCCTTCAAGGGTCACCAGCATCCCGGGGAGGCCTGAGGGGCAGGAGCTGAACGCGGCCACGGAGCTGAGGGCCAGGCTGCGAACTGTGAGTGTGGCTGTGGGTGGGAGGCGTGCGGGTGTTGGGTGGGAGGATGCAGTGTGTGCCTTGGGGATATGATGGGGGAAGGACAGGGGGTGTGCGGGAGCTGGGGCGGGGGTCGGACAACCAGGTAGGTAGGCTGCCCGCCAGAGCCCCATGCTGAGGATCCCCCCCCTGGTGGGGAGGGGGCTGCCCCGACAGATGGCTGAGGTCCTCTCCAGATGTTCTCAGAACATCACAGAGACTCAGACGAGCCTACGGAACCTGAGCTCAGAGCTGGCGAAGAACCGGGATCAGGTACATGAGGACAGAAGGTCTGTGGGGCTCCCTTCCTTGTGGGGTTCGGGGGCGGGGAACACCCAACACCCAGTAGCCTTTTCCGGAACCGGATTGCTTTCTCCTGTGTCCATTCGAGGGTGCTGGGTCCAGGGGGGTTGGGGTTGGGGAGCAGGGATGCCCACAGGGAGCACACGCAGGCTCAGAGGGCGGGGCCTGCCCTCCCATGTGGGTTAGGACTCTGAGTGGGTGCCACGGTCCGGCCCCGTTCCCTTCTGAGCCCTTGGAGGTCGCTTCCCCCCTAAATAAGCACTTATTCCTCACAACAACTGCAGCGCTGCTGTCAGGCCTGCCGTACCCGCTTTCTCCGTGGGGACACCCCGCAGGGAGGTTGATGCACCCCGCGTCACAGCCAGCAGTGACAAGGACAGGGAGGGCTTCCGGCCACACCGACCCTCCCCAAACCCCGTACCCCGGGCAGATTCATACAGGCTGAGGGAAGTGGGTGCTAAGTGCTTACAGAGTTTATTGGGCGGGGGAGGAGAGTTTTGGACACAGTGAGTGCTCGCTGCTCAGTAGACTGCTGTCAGGAGAGAGAATGCCTCTGAACCGTACCGTCAGACATGGAGAAAACCAGAGAAAAGCCCATCTTCCATTCTGATCAATCTAAACGTAGCCCCCTCCACTTCCCGGTCTGCGGTGTGGCTCCGAGTGACCGTCACAGAGCAGACCGCTGGGCTCCCTGGCCTGGTTCTGTCCAGAAGCTTGGGTGCCCAGCTGGAGGGCTCCAGTGCCTCCTGCCCTCAGCCCCCCAGACAGATCCATAGCGCGGTGTCCTCCGTTCGGAATTCACGAGGCGTTGAACGCTGCAACTTGCTCTGAGCTCTTCTGGCCCCAAAGCCTGACCAAGCGGTCTTGAGAGTCTCACAGACCACCTTGGGCCCTGGTGGTGTCCTGTCTGCCGAGGGGTGCCTGCCTGGCCCTGCCTCACCCTTATGACCACCAGCATGTATGAAAGGGGCTGCTCCTTCTCACTGAAGACCCCCTCTTGGGGAATGCTGGCCTCCGCCAGTGACTGGTCCCCCAGCATGTGCGGGAAGCAGGCGCGGAGGGCAGCGTCCCATTGTGGTGCACAAGGGGTGCCCTGGCTGGTTTTCAGAGTAGGTTTCCAGGCTTTCTTGCTGGTCTGCGTGAGTCTGGAAGCTCCGTGCATGACCCTCCGTGTGTGGAGACAGCGGTGGCATTCCCGTCCAGCAGCAGGTAGACAGAGGGGTGGTGGAGGCCCTTGAAGTTCTAGGTCTCACAGTTCGGGGGACTGTCCTCCCAGCCCCCTGCAGACGTGGCCTGCTTAATTCACATGCTGCCTCGGATGGCCAGGGCTGCCGTGTAGCGCACTGGACGGGGTGTGCACTGAGCGGCCTTTCAAAGTCTAGAAACTCTTGACCGCTGAGCGCAAGCCTGTTACAGAGAGCTGTGGCTCGTGGGCCTCTTCCACGCCCAGGTCCTTGGGGGTCAGGCTTTCTGGGCCAGCCGAGGAACACGCTCCGCTGGGCTGCGCCTTAGCTCCACAGAAGAACCCACACACCCAGCCAGCCCACGCCGCCCCATCTGGAAGGGAAACAGGAAGTAATACTAACCTTAAAGCGCAGGCTGAGAGGTCCTCGAGGGGTCACTTCCCCTTCCCTCCCATCACACGGGGACCCTGCCCTGGTTTCCATCCGGAATCGTGGCTTCATGGTGGTTCTAAGCAAAGACCGTCCATGCACCCTGTGGGCATTTGAAATTCCTTCCCTGTGCCCGCCATGGGGTGAACCCAGGAGGTGCCACTCGACCCCTGCAGGTGACCAGAAAATATAGTGCTCTTCACGCCCGCTGGCCCTCCCTGGTCACTCCCTGGATGACGCTGGACCCAGATGGTCCAGAGCTCCGAGGTCCGAGTTCCAGCCACAAGCGGCCTGGCCATGACAACTGCCAATCTCCTGACACCAGTCCTGCTGGGCTTCTTCTGCCCTTCCTAAAGGCACCGTGTGTGTGTGTGTGTGTGTGTGTGTGTGTGTGTGTGTGTGTGTCTCCTGCCCACAGCATCCAGCTGACTCAGAGCTGTTTGGACAAGATGAACCTCATCTACAAGCAGTTCAAGAAGTCCAGGATGAGGCCAGGTGAGTCCCAGGCAGAGCCCAGAACCTCACGCACACCCTCGGACTCCCTCTCTCTTCCTCGAGTCCAGTCCGTTCCTGCCAGGACTCCATCCAGTGTGGTGGTGGTGGTGGGTAGGGGGTGCACAGGTAACCTATATTCTAGTGCTCTGTGGAGGCCAGCGGGCAGCTGGTCTCGGTCAGGGTCAGAGTCAGGAAGCCCTTACCCCAAGGTCTGTTGCCTTGTGAGCAGCGTAGGTGACGTGGCTGGAGGTGCGGCAGCAGGCAGGGTGCTAGGGAAGTGCGGCCTTTGAGAGAGACCTCCCCACACACACACTTTGGGGGGCACTCTACAGTTTAGAAGGAGCCTGGGAGTGTCCTGGTTACTCGCTGGGCAGGAAGCCACATGGTCAGCAGTTGTAGACCACCGGCAGCTCCGAGGGAGAAAGACTGGGCTCTCTACCCCAGGCAACAGCGACCATCTCAGAAGCCAGCCGTCTCGGAAGCCCACGGGGTTTCTCGTTTGGGGCTGCAGGTTAGAGGGTGTCCCTACCCACTGTCTCTGCGCTAGCCTGGCTCTCCAGAGCAGAGGAAGCCTGAGGTAGGAAGCTTGGTGCCCCTGGGCCATGTAAGTTCCCTAGGTGATCTCCTGATGCTCACACAGCCCCTGTCTGTGGGCAGGCACCGGGACAGGGAGCCATTTGTCCCAGCCGACAGCCATACCCGTCCAGGAGTGAAAGGACGGCTCCAAACCCAAAATCCAAACTCCCTGCCATCGGGTGGATGCCGACGCATAGCTACCCAACAGGCCAGGGTAGGAGTGCCCCTGTGGGCTTCTTTACCAGAGCAGACAGCCAGGGGTCCTCCCTTAGGGAGGCCGGTGGGTGTGAACTGCTGACCTTGTGGTTTGCAGCCCAGCACTTAACCCACTCTGCCACCAGGGCTCCACGGGGAGATGAGAGAGGAAGACTGCTGTCCCTGGAAGCCCACGGGGCTTGGGGCTACGCAAGCATGATTCCTTCACAGCGATTTTAGGAGACATGGGTCTTTCTGCTGCTGGATGTGGATGGCAATGATGTTCCTCAGCTACACTCATTCACACACACACACACACACACACACACACTTACGCACACTCACAGGCGCGCATGCGCACTCACACGTGCACGCACGCACGCACACACATGGACGGACAACGGGACGTGGTCTGGGCCGTGTCTGCGTCTCCTGCTCATGGGCACTCTGGGCGCTGCCAACAGCTGCCTAGCCGGTCTGCTTGTGAAGACATGCGTGTGTCAGGGCAGGACCGTGCTTCCTGGGATTTGCAGCGGCCGATTCCCAAACACAGGTCGCCAGGCCGTGCTTCCAAGGCGCCTCTGGGTGGACTCGCCCCTGCAGCCTTTGTCAGCAGCTGAGACCCTCCCCGAGCACGCCGCTCAGGGACGGTCACCTTGTGCGTTTTCTAGAGGAGGAGACAAAGGCACAGGAAGGTGGAGTCGCTGGCACACCAAGGGCACACCTCTTTAGGTGTCCGTCTGGAATCTAAACCGAGGCCCCAGCTGCTTTCAGCCACCTCGGATCACCCCTCAGAGGGGCTCCTGGCAGATTCAACAGCACCGCACACGAGTCTGGGCTGCTAACCGGCGTGGTTTCTGTAGTTGTTGTTCAGTGCCGTAGCGCCCGTGCACAGTAGAGCGGAACACCGCCCGGCCGGCCCGGCCTCTCCACGGTTCCCATGTCTGAGCCCACGGTTCCGATGTCTGAGCCCACGGTTCCGATGTCTGAGCCCATGGTTGCAGCCACGCTAGCCGCCCAGCCCCCTGAGGGCCTTCCCCTTTCTTGCCCCTCCTCTTCACTGAGCATGACGTCCTTCTCCAGGGACCGGTCTCTCCTGACCATGTGTCCAAAGTCTCCCCATCCTTGCCGCTAAGGAGCCCTCTGGCCCTGCTTCTTCCAGGACAGATGTTTGCCCTTTTAGCAGTCCATGGTACTTTCAGTAGTCTTCTCCAGAACCACACTTCAAACACTTTGATTCTTCCTTGGCCTTCTTTGTTCAGTGTCCCGTGTTCACACGCGTGTGCAAACCCCCTGTGGGCAGCATTGAAAGCAGTCTCAAGCCTGCTCAGCATCACAGAGGCCTGTGTGTGTCGGAATGAGACTGCCCCGCAGGGTTTTCATGGCTGGTTTTTCAGAAGATCACCAGGCCTTTCTTCCGAGGCGTCTCTGGGTGGAATCAAACCTGCGACTTTTGTTAGAAACCAAAAAGTCTGATTTATACCACCCGGGAACTGCAGTCCCCTGCTGATGAGAGGCAGGGCTGGGCCAGATCTCTTGGGCTTTACAAGTGCTCTCAGCGGGGCCGGGCCAGCACCAAGAGCCCAGGAGGGAGCTGCTCTGTTTAGCGAGAGGGGAGAGGCTATTGCTGTAAGCTTCTTGTATCCTTTCATTTCTGTCCGGGCTGCCATGCTTTCCAAGCCCACGAGGGGGCAGCATCTCCCTAGAGCAGTGAGCGGTCATGCAATACCCCCACCCACCCCCACCCACCCAAAAAACCCACCTCACTGCCTGGGTCCGTTCTGACTCACTGCTACCCTGTTGGACAGGATAGAGCTGCTCCGGTGGGTTTCCGAGACCATCACTTTGTAGGGGAGTGGAAAGTCCTGTCTTTCTCCGGTAGGAGGCAGCCACAGCGGAGAAAACTCCTGCCTTCATTCTCAGCTGACGTGGCTGAGCCACGGAAAGGGTGGAAGGGGCTGGCTGGCCTACCTAGCTCCCTGCTGCACATACCCCCACCCCGCACAGGCTGTAGACGTCAGTCCCCCCAGGAGGGATGGCAACTGACCAAGCGTCCTTCAAGGGATGCCTGCTTCTTCTCCATTTCCCACCGGAAGTCTTCTCTGACTCCCCCCTCCCCCTCCTACACACACACCTGCACTAAAAGTCCGCCTTCTCTGAGCCCCCAGCAATTGCTGCCAGTCCTCAGGCCTCTCCCTCAGAGCCATGCAGTTACCTGGGCGATGATCTCACTCCTCTGGCCGTTGGGTCAAGCAAACAGGTAACCCGATGGCTTCAGGTCGGCCTCTGGCATCCAACCAGATGCTCCTCAGAAAACCAGCCACTGCGGCCCGAGGGGGCACTACTCCACTCTCGGAAAGGAACCAGCCTCCACCTGGCTGCAAACCCCCCTGGAGCAGGAGCCAGGCTGGACTCCTCACCTGTGCCCAGTCCCCCGCCCCCGCCCCTTGTAGCACTCGGAATTGGGTCTTGTTGATTGACTAAGCAGCTCCATCCTTGTGTCCATCCATCCAGGGCTGGGCTACAACGAGGAGCAGATCCACAAGCTGGATAAGTGAGTGACCTGGGCAGGGACCTGGGGGCAGGGATGGGTGGGTGGCGGCGAGTTGGCTGCCGGGATAACTGCCTGTGGGGCAGGTGGGGGTGTGGGGGTGGGAGTATACAGCTGCGTGGAAGGGCCACAGCTCGGAGGTGTAACTGGGGTGACTGCTGGCATGAGCAGGAGGACTTCCTTCCACCAGTGACCACTTCTCAGGCCCTGCCCCTGCCCCTGCCACACCCTACTCCTACTTCCGCTGGACACTTATCTTTCAGGGGCCCGCTGTTAGCCTGTGCGCCCCACCAGCAGCTGCCTCCACACACACCTTCCATAACCCGCCTCCCACACACACCACTCCCCTTCTCTCCCTCTGCTTCCTGCCACCCGGGCCTCCTCCTGCAGCCTCTCTGGCTGCCATGATTCCCGGGTGTGAACCCCGCCTCCTCCTTCCGGGAGTCGGGGACGTGGTGAGGATGGAGGCCTGGCTCAGGCCTGGTGTCTCTGGCTGCTCCTCTCTGTGCCTCAGTTCCTCTGTCTTTTCAGGTTGAATTTTAGCCATTTAGCCAAACGGCTCCTGCAGGTGTTTCAGGAGGAGTGTGTGCAGAGGTACCAGGTGGCCCTGGACACGCACGGCAAGCGCTTGAGGTAAGTGTCCAGCCGTCCGCCCTCCCAGACCTCAGGGCCTCAGCCAGTCCTTACAGAGCCCCGAGGAGGGGGCGATGAAACAGGGAAGGTGAGATACGGTGGTTGCAGGGAGTGGGCAGTCTGCTGGGTGGTGAGCTCCCTGGACCCCACAATGTCTACCCCATGGCTTAGATGTGATCACCCCGTTTCCCAGACGAAGAAACTCAGGCTTTGGGGCTAGGTCTCCTCCTGCATGGTACACAGCAAGGGAGTAGCAGACCCAGGTCTCCAGTCTGTCTGATGTGACCATCTGGAATATGCTGCCTGGTCCGGCTAGTTATACTGGGACCCCCTTCTTTGGGGAAGGAACCAAGGCCCCTCTGACACACTGACGTATGGGCTTCTTGGGGCACATGGAACAAGGGCCCTGGCAGTGCTGTCAGGTGAGCGTTGGGCTGCTAACCACAAGACCAATGGTTCAAATCCACCAGTTGATCTTTGAGGACAAGATGAGGCGGTGTGCTCCTATAAAAAATCACAGCCTCCAAAGCCCTGTCCAGGGCTGCTGTGAGTCTGACTCGGCTCAATGGCGGTGGGTTCAAGTTTAAGGGGACAGGGAAAGGGGCCCTGGTGGCTCGATGGGTTAAGTACGCTGCTCCGTGGGAGAAAGGTGTTGCCTAAAACTTTACGCGCTCAGAAACCAAGGACGAGTGCTGCTGGACCCGACAGGGTTGCTGTGCATCAGACAGTGGGTTTGGGGGAGCTGAACAGGGCGGGGCAACAGGCCTTAAGCAGAACC